TTCTAAATCTTATGTTTCTATAAAAATATACTGTGCTTTAAAAATATGGATGATAGTACCAGCCGCTCTTTCAGCCACTTCAAAAGCTTCAGTTTGTTTAGAAATAAATTGTGCAGTTAATGTCATAAAATTCAAATAAACATCAAACGAAAATTCTCAGTTTTAGACAATTCGATTTAAACGAAGTAAAGTAGCAGACGATTAAACGCCGAAGGTAAAAATTTACTCTTACAAAAATTTACTCTTATTTAAAAAAAAAAAAAAAAAAAAAAAAAAAAAAAAAGATAGAGAGAAATTTAAAAAAAATATTAAAAAATTTATTTAAAAAAATAGCTTTTCATATAGTATTAATAAATATTTATTACGCATCATTGAGGGAAAAAATGTCATATAATTAATTCTCTGTAAAATTTTACTTGAAATTTAAGGTTAAAAATAGCTGTGGCAATTCACTGTAACAAAAATCCATAGACCACATTTGGCGTTATTATCGCTCAAAAAAAAGATGCCAAATTTCAAAACGCGAAAATATGTAAATTTGTGTATATCTTAGAAATTTTTGAATAAAAAAGTCTAATTTTTTGCAGATATGCTTAAAAATATACCTAAGTTAAGATGATGGTAAAAATTTTATAGGTTATAATTCAAAATTTTTTTCGAAAAATTTATAAAAATTATTTAAAAATAGAAATTTAAAAAATAAACACAAAAAATGGGTAAATTTTTATTTGGAATGAACCTAAATTTCGAAATGTGAGAGAAAAAATCAAAAAAGTTTAATAAAAAAAGAGATATAAATAAATATTTGCCAAATTCAATTAACATTGAGGAGCTAAAATTTTGAGAGCTAATATTTCAAAAACTACTCGTATGATTTTTACAAAACTTGGTATTATGGCATAATTTGAGTCGTAGAATCGAAATATGTAAAAAAATTGGTATGTTATTTCAGAAAAAGTCCGATTTTGTGTCAAAATACCTATGTTAGAATAGTGCTATATATAAATCTAATATATATCCTAAGTCGCGCTTTCGAGACATAAAGAACACAATTTGAATTTCGTGAATCACCCCAGTAGAACAGGAGATATAACACTGTCCCATTTTTTTTTTAGCAGTGTACATATATTAAATAGTTTTTGTTATGTATAATATATATTAAATAGTTTTGTTTTGTATGACATATATTAAATAGCTTTGTTATGTATAATACACTTGTTATCATAAATTAAGGAAAAATAACAAAAATAGCGATAACTCCCTCAAAAGTAAGCCAAACCGTATAAAATTTGAATATGCTGTCGAGTAAGAGTAGCTGAGTAAAACTGCAATATGCAAATTAGTGGCGCTGCACTCGGAATACGTCATCTGCGAGGAGAATAAAAGTCCATGTTTGAGAGCAAGCCCACATATTTCACTGTGATAGTGACATCAGAAATCTGAGATAGCCAATTCGTAACGATGACCTCCAGACATCATTTGCCTGCAGAACTACGCTGGAGAGCCATTGGGAGACTAGAAGCAGGATAAAGTCAAACAGAAGTGGCCAGATGGCTAAATGTGAGTCTTTCTGTGGTTCATAGACTTTGGAGGCGATTTTAAACCACAGATTCGGCCTCTAGGAGGTTCAGCCAAGGACGGCCAACTGTTACGACGAGCGCTAATGACCGATATTTGACATTATGTGCACGCAGGAATAGAACTGCTACTCTGACTCTTCTTAAATCCTCCCTTGCTGCAGCCACCAGAAGGTTGGTGTCAACATCAACTGTGCTTGGAAGGCTTCATGAAGGTGGTCTGTGTGCGAGACGGCCAGCCATTTGCGTGCCGCTCATGTCAACGCCATAGGAGGGACTGTTTGCAGTAGGCATTACAACATGTCCACTGGACACTTGATCAGTGGAGGGCTGTTCTCTTTATGGATATGTCCAGGTTTAGTCTAGAAAGCGATAGTAGGCGTTATTTGATATGGAGAGAACCTGGAATCCGTTATCATCTGTCAAACATCCGTTAAAGAGATGCATACGGAAGAGGCAGTGTCTGTGTTTGTGGTGGCATCTCTTTGGGTGGAAGCACAGACCTCCATGTCTTTCCAACAGAAACCGTGAATGCTCCGGTTTATAGAGATGACATCCTTGATGCTTATGTGTGTTCATGTGCTGGGCAATAGGTGATGCTTTCCTGTTACAGGACGATAACTCAAGACCACACAAGGCTCACATCATAGATGATTATCTTCAACAGGAAACAATTATACGCATGGAGTGGCCAGCTCGATCCCCCGACTTGAATCCTATCAAGCACGTTTGGGATGATTAAGAGAGATGTCTAGCTGCTGTCAGTCTGCCCTCTCAGACCCTTGCCGTGCTTGCAACAGCTTTGCAAGAGCAATGGCTCTCGCTTCCTATGGAACTGATAGACCGCATAATTGAAAGCATCAGGCATCTCTGTATGTGCTGTATTGCTTCTAGAGGCGACCATATTCCCTATTGAAGGTACTTTTCCTATAACAAATTGATACCTTCGATTTGTTCATTTTATACATGTGCTAATTTCTATACTACCATAATTGTCTGGTAATTTATTTTTATGTTATTTGATACCTTAATATGTGTTGTATATTGTGGGTAAGTTTCATAAAATTCTACATGTAACTTTTTCAGTAATCGTGATTTTCCTTAATTTATGATAACCAGTGTATATATTAAATAGTTTTTTTTATGTATAATATATGTATATATATATATATATAAACCGTGTTTTAAATAATTTGTCACATATATATACATATACGAAGTAAAAAGCAGTTCAAAACTTAATCCAGTTCTGTGCTCATAGCAGCAACAGATGGCGGAAATAATGCAAAATAAAATAAAAAATATGTTTAAAATTCATCCCATATTCAGTTTGCAATATTTCTATCTACTGCAGCATCATCATCAGAGGTATGATGACTGTGACGATGCAGCAAAAGATGTAAATTTCATTTTCATGATACTTTTGGGACTAATTTAATTTATACAGCTTACTATGTTAGAGTAAATAAACATAAATTATCTTCAATATATTAGTTTCAAATAATATTTTGTATATAGTGCTGAGTTTTTTTTTAGAATAAATTAATGTTTTTTATTCTTCTTTGCGTTTAGCTGGACTATAGCACAGAATTCTTTTGATACTTCTTGATGTTTTCCAAAATTGAAAATTAATAAAATAATTTATATTTTAAAAGGAATTTCTAAATTTTCACAGTTAATTTGATACTCCTTCCAATTGTTCACCAGCGGTAAATGTATCACTTGCCTCATCCTTATCGTGGCTATGTGATTAGTAATATAGTTATTACTTCATATAAATAAAATATAATAAATATAACTATATTTTTGTGCCATGAAAGAAATGTAATAATGTGCTGAGTATGTAGCATTTATAAAATGTTACTTTACTTTGCCATTAACAGTACATAAAATCTTGTTGCAGAAATCTTGTATGACTTGTATGATCTGAGACTTGTACGGTCTTGAAACCTCTAGGTTTTCTGAGTGTTATATGAGCAGTGGCTTGACCTTGCAGTTGCCACTCATGTTTGCACACAATGTGAAAACCTATCTTTCATGGGCTTGTGACTTGGCATCTTCTTTTCTTCTGTTGTTTTGTAAATTTTGCTTGGCATCTTCTTCCAGAAGAGCTCTGTCACAGTTGAACACTTGTTGGGGGATGTATCCTTTTTCTTTGACTAATTCAGCAAAGATATTTACAAATTGCTCAGCTGCCTTACAATCACAGCTCACTGCCTCACCATACCTGGCAAACAGAGTGAATGCCAGTCCTTTTTCGGAAATTCTTGAACCACGCCCGACTGGCTTTGAACATCACCTATGAAACTTCCTGTGCTGAAGTACCTAGACTCTACTGCAGCAAATCTGTGTAAATGACTCATGTCTTCTCGCAAATTATAGTCTCTGTCACAGTGTCTCTAGTGAGCAGCTCCTCTGTCAACCACAATAACAGTAAATTCTCCATCTTCTCATGGACAGAGTTGCAAAGCTTTGAAATAGTTCTAACCCTCTTAGCTGGAGTTAAGTCTCTATTGAGTCCTTCTGCTTCGGAATACTTCATATTGTAGAAGCTGTACAATCATACTACATTGCCAGGTCTTTTACTAAGCCTTGCTCATGCTTGTTTACTATCTCACGCTTTAATTCAATATATATCACCCTTTTTTTTCTCACCACTATTCTTTACACTCATCTTCTTGGGACTTATGGCTGTATGGCAAATAAATTAGTTAAATAACTTTATGAGTCAATAAAAAACACAAAATTAGAACAACACAGTAGAAATGCTTCTGCGGCAAGGTGGATTGAAATGGCGGGTGAGTCTGAGCAGTGGTGACGTCACAGCCAGTTTAGTTATTATTTCCAGTTTATTACAGGACTTGCAAATTTATTGGTGGTTCAGATTTGAGAGTCTTGTATGCGCCAACTGCTGTGACATCACTAATAGTAGCTTGTATCTCTAATTTTGACCAAAAAGTGACCTCAGGCCAAAAATTGGACCTAAAGACTGCTCTTAGCTTAAAAAATCGTATGTTGAGCACTAGTATCTCAATTTGTATACACATTACACATTACACAGTACAAAGTGATACATTTACCGCTGGTGAACAATTAAGATGTAATCAAACTCAAGATGTAATCAAAGAACTACAATTTTATAAAATTGGAAATATTAAATTATGTGTATGCATTTGTTTGTATGATAAAAATTCAGATGGTTCATTTATTCTAATATCAGTGTAACTAAAATTTTCTATAGATCAATTTGAAACAAATACCAGTGGGTAAAATTATTATAACAGGTTGAACTGTTTTTATGGCATATAGAAAACCAGCATATTGAGCAAATTATAATAATCTTTTGTCTCAGTAATGTATTTCTTGAATTTTTAGTTACATTTTAATTTTATTTAGCTTAGATATGTATTTTTTTCTGTTCAGAGGCTATTATCCAAAGGGAGGTGGTGAAGTTGTTATCAGTGTTACTCCAGTCTCTAAGCATTTAAATCCAATTGAATTATTAAAGCCTGCTGAAGTTGTTGACATTAAAGGAAGATCTTTTGTTGCTGGTGTACTGCCTGTAAAAGTATGAAATAATCCTATTAGTTTTCTAAAAAATTTCCTTTTTGTACATCTTGCATGATATTTGCTAAATATTATCAAGAACATTGTAATGTTGTTAGAACACATTTTTAATTATTTCCCTATAATAATATTCTACAAATCTAAAATCTGGACCACTGGCCAAAAATAAGTAAATAAAATAAAATAGTATATATGAAAAAAAAAAAAAAAAAAAACTCTTATAAAATCTAGGAAGGGAGAATGTAATGAATGCCCAACCAAAAGAAGCAGGCATGCTGTAAATGTAATTTTCCTCCAGATTAAACTGAGATTCTTCGCATGCCATTTTCTGACAACTGCTGGCTAGGGAGCCACATGGTGGCCTGTGTCAGTACATTGCTGTTGACCCAAATCGGGCTTAGCCTTGAGTAGTTCAGAGAGCAAAACATCTGATCAAAACAATCCATCTGATCAAAACAATTAAGTGAAGCCTCAGTGCTGCCATGTCTATGTGTCATCTTAATAGATTTAAACTGATTATCTAAATACGAAATTGCTCAAGCTAGTTGATTCTGGGTTTCAAACTTTGTATTGTATGTGCTTGTAATGAGATAACTGTAATTCCTTCTCATTTGTTAGGTTAGATTTTAATGTCAAAGCACTTAAGGGCAATCGGGCCCATCAGCGGCCTAGCAATAAAGTCACTGAACGCTGGTAGTTCGGGTGAGATTCGAATCCCGTGAAAGATATGTATGGTCGTTTTCGAGGTTTTCCCCCTGTGTAATGAATGTGTATACAAGCCAGTTTTCCTTAGAGAGCCCTCCATGAAGGCACCCCTCCCCTTAGGGAGAAAACCCCCGAGGCTTTGCCATAATTAAATAAACCAAACCAACTCAGTGGCAGTTGAGAAAGGATGACCTGCTAAGAAAAATTGATTTGTATTTATATAATTCATACATATAAATACAAAAGTTAGGAAACTTCTTGCAGCCATCTTGTTAAAGTATCAGGAATTAAACTAGGACTGAAATATCAGCATTTAATTGTAGTTCATTTGACTACTGAGGGGCATTAGACGTAATTGCTAGTAATTTGCTTTTTTTTTTTTTTTTTTTTTTTTTTGTTTTGTGATTTTTTAAATTTCTAAATTCATTAAAAAAAATTTTTTAACAAAAAAATTGAATTCTTGTATTTTAATTATTTCACTATCGATTTGTTTTTTACACGACTGCAATATTTTTATGTTGTACAGTGTTTTGTAATTTTATATAGCACACATTTAATGAAATCTAATTCCCTCTCCCCAATATATGTTTCTTTACACTGGTGGACAAAGCTGTCATAAATTTTGAATGAAATATATATATTTAATGATCTAAAAATGCATAGATGAAGACAGTGGAACTTTTAACAGCTTACAATACTGCGTAGATGACCGAGAAGACCGTAGTGGCAGAGTATAAAGCATGATGACGCAATTTAGCACAACATATCTTGAAATATCACAATCTTTATTTTTTTACACATATCAAATCATCCTTTTTCAGACAAAATGTTTCCTAATTGTATTTGAATACAATAAGTTACATTTTGAAGTACAACGTCATCTTAAGTAAGTAAGCAGCAGCATGGTTTAAAAACGTCTTGTCAGCAGGAGAGCTATGTGGAAAAAGGGGAAAGCATCATAGAACTTCAGAGGAAGAAGGGTGGGACTCGGAAATGTTTCAGTTCAGAGTTTTGGTTTACAATTAATTTGATTGGATAAAAGGCATCTGCATTAAAACCTTACATAAGATAGAAAAATCTGGAACCTGTGAGAAGAGATGAATTTAGGGGCAGATCACGAAATTAAAAATGTTAGTTTGAGGTCGCCAAATATATTTTTGAAACAGCTATCATATTTTGTTATATTTTACATATATATATATATTTATATATATATATATATATACCAGCAAATAATGAATTTGCTAGGATTATTTGACCCAATGATACTGAAAGGGTTAAATGGATTTTGAAAACTGCATTTAAATCATGCATGTAATATAGTTAGCTCTTCATTTCATTCAGTAGTGTGTTAAATATCTTAATTTTAAATATAAATTTCTATAATATATTAGAAGAATATTCTTTTTCAATTTATATGTAACTTATCAAACCACAATTTGCATCTTATTGAGAGTTTTCTGTAAAAAATAATTTAAAATAAAAAGTTTACTATTTTAGAGAGAAATTTTTTAAGCAGTACATGACTTGAAATATAGAAAGTAGTTGTTTAAAGTGAGATAGAATGAATACAACAGGTTTTAACCCGAAGCATGAGGGAAAAACAAATAAAATGTGAAATCTGAATATATTTTCATTATCTTGCAAATGACAGATTTCATTATCTTGCACAACTTACATAATTATTCTGGCCATCAATTGTTTTGTACATTTTTAACTGCTTCTTAACACCATTAAATGAATGGCATTTCTTCTGCCCAAAATTAAATAAAACATGATACCTTTGAAAATGGTAGCTGGAAACCATAAAACCATTTTCCAATGTGAGTGCCTTTCTTTTTTGCAACTTTTAATGTTGCACTTCCATATGCTTTCACCATTGAGGCATTATGTGATCATTTTTGCTTATTCCATTATAGGATAAAATTCCTTTTTCTTGAAATAATAATGCATATAGCTCAGCTTCTTTTTTGAGTAATGCCTAAGCAGAATTTATATGGCATCAGTGCACGGGAAACAAAAACCTGTTTGAAGCTGTATTATTAGTTGTAATTGCAAAAACTTAATGTAAGAATGCCACCAGGACCTGCATGCAAAAAATTAAAAGTAAATGAGAAACTGCATGCAAGAAGTAAACATAGGTGTGTCTTTGTTATATTCTACTTTTCTCGATAATATTGTTGTTATTTCTAAATGTTTTCTGCTTGATGATTTTTTTCTTCATGTATGCAAATTGTTCTTCATGATTTTATTTTATCATGGTTGCTATATCGCATAAGAATCTTACCAACTAACAAAATAATCTGTAACATTTTTACAGAGTTGTGTAGCATTGTGAAAAGTCAAGAAAAATTTACATAGCATTTACTTATATATTATTGGAAATGAGATCAGTCCTAGAAATGCAACTTTCACAAATGCTAAGAGAATAAGAATAAGAAACTGGTAAGAAGCAGGATCACATATACTGCAACAGTGTAATTTGTTTAATGATGGTGCAATGTATTGGCAGTATTCAAATTGTGACACTAATAGCTTGTCGAATTGTGTTGTAATAGATTGAAAGAATTGCTTTTCAAGAAGTTTGGAGTTATGAAAGTACGTTGTTAGAGTTTATTTAAAGAGAGAGAACAATGCTAGACATATATTTTCACTACAGTGGGTTTTGCAGGTAATTATTGCGAGACAAAACAGATTTTAGAAGTTAGCATACCAAATAGAGGAACTAAAACGTTTTTTATAATAGCTAAATATCATCCACTAGAAATTTAAAAATTAGTCATCCAGATCACTGCCATTATTGCCTTGCAGCAATGAGAGGAAAAGGTACTCAAATCATTGACAAATTAATGTTAACAGCAAAAGAACAAGTAATGGTCAGAGTGCTATTAAAGTTGCTTCCAAGATCAGTATAACAAACAAGTACCATATTTTTCTTTTTCATTAAAAAAAGACCTTTTTCATTTAAGTAAATAATCTAGTTTTTTGGTTAGAAATAATTGTTTAATTCCCTTGCAATGACATTCGAATTTAACCTCTTCGCTCCAAATGTCAAGTGACCAAATTTCTCAGCATGATTGTAACCTTGAAGTGCTGAGCTTCACTGCATGCCCGAGTGCATCTTATACTTAAGCCTAATATGCTGAAATAATTCCTGAAAACATGCTTGTTATCTAAATATTTGGCTGTACAATAACGTCAAAATCTTAAGAATTTAAATATCCATGCTTATTATATTCTGCTACCATATTTGCCTTAAAAATTTTAAGCCATTTGCAGTTGCTGGGAGCATTTCTAAATTAAGAACCTGCATTGTTGTCATCATGCACTTCACTTTCATAGACTAAAATAATATTCCGCACAAAATGCTAACATTCGAGGGACTCTATTTAGTAAGTTTTTGCATCATTCTGACATAATTTATATGCATTTAAAATTTGAGATAAAACATTTGGTTTCAGCATATCAAATAGATACAGTGGACAATCGGTCATACTTTGCTTCTGTATCAAATTTGATATGGTGGGCCCACAAAGGAAATGGAGCCATATCATACATGATATGCTGAGAGCAAAAAGGTTAATGCTATTATGTGAAGAAGGGGAGTAATTTCTTTGATTGAACCATTATTATTTTATGATTGGCAATGTAATTTGCTATTAAAGTTTTTCACTTCTCTGTATTCTATCTTTCCATTGAACTATCTCCTCTATCTTTTTCTGATAATGTTTGATAATATAATCAGAAATTCTCTGATTAATTTGAAACTTTTTTTTTTTTAAGGTTGCTCATGGTATGGCAGATGCTGCATCTCGTTGTCTTCGAGCAGCATTTCCTGGCATTCCTATGAAAATCGATAGAGTTAAAGAATCTCCCCAAGAAGCAGAAGGAAATGGAAGTGGCATAGTGTATGTTTTAATTTACATAAATTTTACATGTAATTAGAAAATAATGTTAATTTTGAGGGTTTGTGCTGTTAATATTTTAGTGTATATTTAGAAATTTAAATTTTCACTTATACACTAAGTACCACTTAACATAACAGTGCTTTATACATGACTATTTTGATAAAAATATCAATGGGACTTAACTAATTTCTTATAAATAAAACTAGAAAAATATCAACACTTACTTCTACAATATTTTAATTAGGAAAAAGTCATTAATGATTGAATGTCTGTGCTAGTTATACAAAAAATTATTTATGAACTGTTCATACTCATAATGTTTCAGGAATGTATTTGATAATTAATATTTATAGGGCATCTTTCATCTGAGCATCTGCAACAAATTTTTTGACTTGTTCATCTTCATCTTCAGAATGTTTATCACTAGAACAGTCATACGATCTCTTGACATTTTACATACGAACTAAACTTTCAGTTTTAAGTAAATAGTATGTGGAAGTAATGGATTATAGTTCGGTTTCATCTGCATTTTAAATATTTTCAAGGCCATTTAGGCTGTTCATTTGACAACCTGCAATATTCCTGCAGCAAGTAAATCAAATTCTTTTTCTGCTTTCTCTCTTCTACCATTGAACCAGCCATCTGTTATAGAATCATTTTCCCCATTTTTATGCCTGATTCTTCAGCTTTCTGCTGCATCAAAGGACTGCCAACTGCCACATAATTTTCATGAACATTCATGCTTCTTCATACTTTCTTCACACTAAGCATCCATTTCATGTTTCCATTTTGGTGTTCCTTTCATTTTAAAATAATATCTCCAGGATTCTTCAGAATCTTGTTTAAAATAGAAAAATATTAACTTAAAAGCAGCATGTTGTTGACTCATTTTTGGGAGTTTGTTATAACAGTTTAACAAGTTCACTTCATCCCTTAGAGCCGGATCATTACACCTTTTGCTAGACTCTGTGATAAAAATGACTAAACAGAATAAAATAATGAATATTTCCTGGATTAAAATATTCATAAAATTGTAAAGGTTAAAAGATGTGAAGAGATATTTCAACGTGTAAAAGCATGATCATTCTAGAATTCTGCTTCATTAAAGTGATTAAGCCATTCGATCTTCTTGAAACTTGGAAAAGACTTTCTTTGGTATATATTTGGCTTAAGTCAAAATCAAGATGTTTAGCAACTTAATCCTTTGGAAACATGTTTTTGTCATTTGGCAGTTTCTGTGCTCTATTTTGATCTTATTTCATCAAACTAAATTCTAAGGATCTTCAGTTTAAAAAATTCATTCTTTAATATTTTAATAATTTTGGTTCAACTTATTACGACAAAAAGCAATGTATTTTCCATATTTACAAATACAAATGGACAGGACTTCAGCAGTTTGATAACAATATCAGAATGATAATGCTAACCATGATCACATTACTTGTCACTTGCTGTATTTGACATCATTCATGCTGATCATTTTAAAAGTTTTATGTTAATTTAATTGTAATACTTTTTTTTATTTTGTCTTTGTAAGGAAGCTTATTGAACAGAATGTATTGGTAAATATTAATTTATATTTATTTTCTGCATACAGACTTGTTGCAAAAACAGCTTCAGGTTGTTTGATTGGAGGATCAGCTTTAGGGAAAAGAGGTATTTTTTTATATGTATATATTTGCTGTAAATAAATTTACTTATATCATATGAAGTATTTCTAGAATGTATTTTCTATCAAGAAACATTTTAAATAAATTCAAACTCTGGAACAGTTTTGTTCTAAGAGTTTATTTATGAGGAGTATTGTGGTAGATCAGCACACAAATTAAAATAGTTCTGTGTTTAAAAGAGAAATTAGTAACCATAAATTTAAAAATGAACAATTTCAGCTCTATGTATATTCTAGAATTAAATTACAAAACCTTAGAATTTACTTGTGTTGTTTCATATTTATTTAAAGTTACCATATTTAGAATAGCAGTGTCCTATTCTAAATATGAATAGCAATGTGTAAAGTTGCTTGTAATCATAATATTTTTCTCCCTTCAAAAAACTTCCAAACTTCATCAGTTAAAAATATTAGATTTGATATTTTTTTTAGAAGTGTTTATTCAGAAATCTGCTAAATTCATATGTAATGTACGTATTATGTATCATCTTGTCAACTCTGAAATTATCACCACTGGGGTTTAACATCAGGTAATGATAAGGGGGTATGACAATACACTTATAACATCTGGGGTGTTCTTTTGATGTAACCTTGAATGATAGTAAAATGGTAGAAATTTGCAAAGTCTTTTTACAAAGCAGATCAAGTAATGATTGAGTGTTAAATAAAAAAGGTGTCAGCTCCTTCAGAATTCTGCAGGATGATAGGCACAGTTTTGGCGAGATCTCCACCAACGTTCATGGTTTGATGGTGATGAACTTTCTCAGTTGACGTGATAATACATAGGTGCCATATAATTAATGTGAAGAACTATAATTGAAGTATAAAGAACTATAATTGAAGAAGTGAAGAATTATAATTTTTTAGGTATTTTAGGCAAGTGTATATCAAAGATGTCTCACACTTTTATTATATATGGTGTAAAATTATAGATCAATATTATCAAGAAAATTAGTTAAGTTAATACCTTGTTCCCTTAAACTATATAATAAACTGTTTTTCTCCTTTTTAGTTCATTAATTATTTTATTAGTTTTAAACAAAAGCTTATATAATGGAAAAAATGCATTTTTTATTTTATCCTAAACTTAGTTCGTTATTTCTCAAATCATAATTTGGTGGCTGTGGCCAAATATTATGGTGCATTGTCTTGAAAAATATCAAACCTGTCAGAATAACAGCCTAGAATGAAGGATTAAAACTGATACTAATTTAATGGTCACTGGTCAGAGAAACTTCGAGATATATGAGAGAAAGGCTATATCAATAGAGTCATGGATCCATGGTGCTTTTATACAGTCAAAAGTCTTTAATCCAGACTCATCGGAACTTTGTCGATTCCGGATTATAGATCATAAATTTAAATCTGGTAAGATGGCATGCAGAAATTATAAAATTAAAAGTAAGAAACCCTAATTTATGAAATAAACAGCAATTATGATCTAAAGGGTATCAAAATTTAAAAAAAAAAAAAAAAAAAAAAAGCTTAATATTTATTTGTTTACTTTATTAAACATTTCTTTCAATGCGCGCAGGCGTAAATACGCATAGTCAAAATTAGAAAATAGCAACCAGAAAACTATTTGATGTGTATTCGTGATATTTATAATGATGAGGAATTTGATTTAAATCATTCATATCAAAGACGGAGTACATCGAGATGAAATACTACATTTAGTAAGGAATTATAAGCCGAATAAAATAAAAACATCTGCCCTGAAGATAAGGATAGTACTGACAGATCAACTTCCAGTTTATTGCTCGCCGCGATGTTTCCCCCTCCCCTCAGGGCAGTGTGAAATTGATAAACAGATTTTGGAATGGTTGGAGAAACAAAGGCTATGCCTTTATCCATTTTTTGCAGCAATTCCACTTTTTGTTTGATGGACATCGAAACATGCTTTCTCTTTGTAGATCCTTTGGCGGCTCCAGAATCGGAAATTCTTTTTGACATAATCGAAAGTTCAAGCTTACTTTTATAAAATTGTTTTAACAGTCTGCAAAAAATAATAAGACGGATCCAATTCGAAGATTAAGGAAAAACGCAATCTGCAACATTAACTGAAATAGATAATTAGATAATTTTAGCTTAGCTTATACTATCTGTTAAACATTAAACGCGCACGCGTAAACGTATTATGCACATGCGTAAATGCTTATGGGTAGAAAGTTTGTATCTTTGAGGTCCGGATTAAAGACTTTTGACTGTAGTGTTATTCTAAGTTGTTGTTTTCATCTGTTCTGTCAAATGTAATAATAAATATGCTATAATATATAACCCATACTCACAATGCCCTCATTTAATAAAGCTATACTAGGATGGGCCCTAATTTCTGTTATGAAGGTACATCCACATGATTAAGCTGTGATGTAAATTGGAGAACAAAACACACATCACCGGCGAAAAGTTGTCCAAGCAAAGGTATGAGTGAAATCTGTGTTCAGCCAATCATTGAGGAGAAAAAATTATGTAATACTCGTAAGAAAGCAAGGGCAAAGCATTTCATCTGCTGTTTCATCGTTTGCTTAAAAGAGTATCAGACTCAATTAATTTTATTATGAAATTTTGTTTATTAAGCAATTCAACAAGAGAGCATAATATGATGAAACGATTATGACACTAATACGTTTTAATGCAAATTAAGATTATAAAAATGTTTTCAAGTATATAGGAGGATTAAATGACTTGAAAGCCCATCTACCATATAATAAAATCAATTTCATATTTTTTAAGAGTTCCCCACCCCTTGGTTTGCTTATTTATGTGTAGTGTAAATACATATATAGGAATCTGTGTAATAAGTGAAGTGACTTATAATTTGATCATTTTATAAATATTATTTCCTATATAAGTTAGAAGGTAAACGTTCATCCAATAAATAAATTTAAAGGATTATAGAGAAGGTTATATTCACAATAAAAATGAAGAATGAAATATTTTTTATGTAAAAAAGAAGGTAAATATGTCTTTTTATGTAAAGAAATATAAACAAAGTAAATTTTGGATTTGCAGTACTTCAAAGTAATCTATTATTTCTGCCAACTGAAATGCCACCAATTTCTACACTTAAAATAATTTATTTTTCTGAAGTAATGTGCTTGTAATTAATGTGAAATAATTCCTCTGAAATATTTATGTCCTTTGAATATCAGATGTGAATAGCAGCTTTCATTTGTATTCATTCTATTAGGAGTTTTTGTGCATATTCCCAGTGATTAGAATAAGCTTATAAAAAGATGTGAAGAACTATAATTTTTTAGGTATTTTTCTTTTTACAGAAGATATTTAATGACTGGCTGAAAAATTTAGGTATTTACGTTTTCTGGTATCTTTGATAATTAACAAGCCAACTTTATTCCAAATAATCATGATTAAATTCATTACTTGCCTATCAAACCACTTCTTTTATGTTTTTATTGACACTAAATATCTTCCCAGACATTTAACAGAACGTTTGTCATTAGTTGAGAGTTGATGGCTTTGATGCTGCTAAATTAATATGTAACAAATTTTAACAGTTTTATTATTGGTAAAATTTTTTTTATTTATTTTTCTATTTAGGATGGGTGTACAGTTATGAACTGAATTAAATATGCAATGAGATAAAATAAAGACATAATTTTTACAAGCGATACAGATAAATCAGTCCACCTTCGTTTACCGCTTAGGTACAGTGAACATTTTAAAATTAGAATTTAAAACAATTATAATAACAGATAAATTAAGAATCAAATGATTCATGATTAAGTGAAAAGCTAGTCATGAATGAAAATTCACAGAAGTTGGAAAAAACTTAAGTTGAAAAAATAACAAGCGAGTTCTGAACTCACAACGCTCACTCACTCACAGTTCGCTGACCATTCAGTTAGACATGATAATACTAATAATAAAATAATGAAAGAAGTAGAAGTCTGTGTAGCAGTAGCATATTTAACCTTTTCCCGGGGGCTGGGACGTATGTGTCCCGTACTAAGGATACAGCAACTGGGGGCTCCGGACAGTTTGCCGTTGATGACAGGGGTAGGAATTCTAGCGCTTGAGGCTTGATGACTATTTTACGACACCCGGGAGAGTGCGTTCTTTTGTGGTATTCCGCTAATGGATTGGGGAAAATTCTCCCTGTTTTAAACCCACATGGCTTGTTTGCAGATTCAATATCTTCCAGGAAATGTTTTGTTGAGAGAAGAAAATAAAAAGAACAGTTTGTTACTTCGATTCTCACGCATTTGTGTTTTCAGGTTTTTTCCTGTACAAATGCGGCTTGGAGGTCAAACATCAAAGAAATTTTATTTTTGGAAGCTCGGCTGCTAAAATTCTTTGGAAATTATTTTAAAACCTTGAATGTATTTAAAATTGCATACTTTTTTCAGTTATTTCTAATTAAATTCTTTTTAATTTGGTTTCAATTCAAATTTAAAATTGTCTTTGTTTCATTCTTTTCATAAGTGTTTTAATCACTTTATTCCAATTTTTAGTATAAGGCAGTGTAGTAATATAAATGTTTCAGGTAATGAAAATTAATTTTAATTTTATTTCTAAATGACATGCATTCCACGACTACCGCTTACTTGAGTGAAATTTTGGTTTGTTAGACTAGCGGTCGAGCGAATAATATTTCTTTAACTCTGATAATTTGACCTCGATTCAAATTCCGATGAACGGATTGACTGCATGAACGTTTCTTGTTCTCTCACATACGTAAAGGGTATATCAGCCAATTTCCTTTGAACGCCCTCCACAAAAGCCCCGTTTTGCTTAGGTAGATAACACTTTATTTAATTCGACAAATAAAAATAAAATTATATTCAAAATAAGAAAGCTAAACTTAGGAGAGTTTCATAACTGTGTTTTAGAAACCCTTCCTTTTATCAATCATTTTAATGACTAAATGAATTTTAATTGTGCGACAAATGAAATATGAATTTTTATTAAAGCAATTATTAATGGAACATTTTCTAATTCAAAATTTAAAAAAAGTTTCAAAACTTACTTAATTTATTCCTTTGTTATATGATTTGCGTCTGTAATGTCATATCTATATCAATTTGTTCAGAAATTAGATACGTTAGTTTAGGTTAATTGAATATGGGAAAGCACACGAAGGTTGCCTACCTAAAGGAAAGCATGCCTTCGTAGAGAACTTTTAGGAGAAATTGACTCGTATTCATGTTTCACATGGGGGAAACAATGAAACCAACCAAACGGCCAGCTCGATCGCCTGACGTCGAATCTATGTCTAACTACCAGCATTCAAGGGCCTTAACCTCTCAGTAACTTGTAGTGTTCAGAAAGTAATTAATTTTACGTGAGAATCGTGTTTTGGAGGGAATCAAACAAAATATTGGAATACTAAGCATGTATACAGGAATTCAGATGTGTACTATTTTTTAGTTCCCTGAATTTAATCCTCAGTTCGAATCTTCATTAATATTCATTAACTCAGTACGAATCTTCATTCCCAGCTTCATTACTTCCATAGAAAGCAACAGTAAATAGTTTGAGATCTGAAAATTTCGCATAACAGTTTGATACCTTAAAGGCGGTTTTAGCATTCTGAAAATGTAGATCATAAAAACCTGAAGAAATATTTCGCCATTCGACAAAGATGTTTACATTTTGAAATTTCAATGCGTTCCTGTATATGCAATTTTGCATTCTAAGAAAAAATGGAGTAGCAATATAAATCATCGAACAACTGTTCCCTTTCTATTCTAAGGTAAAAGTAGTATCTTATATCGCTAAGTGATAAAACTAAATTTTTGAATACATTAAAACTCAACAAAGATTTTATTTTCTAAAGCTCCAGGGTTTGCATCTGCATTTCTTTCTTGAACCAAAAACTATGAAGCGATTAAATAAATTAAACATCTTATATCTCTGATGTAAAGGCAAATCAACTCTGGGACCGCTATTTTCAATGCCACATGGAAAAAAAAAATAAATAAAAAAATTCTTGGCTCGTGCATTGTAAATTTTTCGTAGTGCTGGACGTTGTTCAATAATAATTTAGTGCAGTACAAACACAGTGACTAAATTCTATTTCTCCAGGAAATAAAATCATTAGCACTGTAGTTATTTCATTTCATAGAAGTTATTTCATTTGTCACAGGAAAGAATATTACCATACGTGTAAAAGTATTAACACTCATTTTGGAATCCAAAAATGCTTTTTAAATGGCACTTGCAATAAATAAACTCTATTTAATTTGCTCTTCAACATCAGAATAAAAATACCATTAAAAATTAAAATCATATATTTTTTGAAGGAAATGTTTTAATATATTAAATCACTGAATTTTCGATAGGATGACAAGTGAATATATTTAACACTGATTACTTCGATAGTTTTTTAGTACATAATTACATAATATAGGTGCAAGTTTAAAAAACTATTTTAATCGTAAAATGGAACTCTTTTTTAGAACAAAATTTCTAGTTATAGCATACATTTCATTTGAAGGTAAAATAATACTTTTTTTTCTTGGAAAAACTGTATTCATATACCTGCAGTGTGAAAGCAATTAGAGTACATCCCGCAATCTAACGCTTTGAGCGTTGGAACTAGATATAAAGGAAATCCTGAGCATTTGCCTGCCTGCCGACAAAAGAACACTAATCACCCACTCGTTAAGGTCTCAATTCGATAATTTTTCTTTCCATAACCGCTGAGCCAAGGACCCCCAGTGAAGGTACACAACTGTTTTTTGAGCCCATGGGAAAAGGTTAATGAATGCATGTCATATGGCTCAGGTTGTGATTGATCTTGAAAATTTTTTAGTTGCATTTTCTAGAAAACTCTTTTGCAGTCAACTGCTTTATCATAGAAGTTGTTATTTTGTTGAAGAAGTTAGTTTGTAGTGTATTTGATACTGAGGTTCTTATAGGGCATCTTGTTACGACGAAATAGCAAGCACTTATAATATTTAAGTAGCACTTTGTAAAGCAGAGAATTTGATTTTTTAGAAATTGTAATTTATTTAGGTTTCTGTTGCTTGTAGAGTTCCATAGAGGTGAAGCTTATGAAAATATTTGTTGAATGATTGTTTTATAAATATGCAGGGAGAATTTGAAGTTTCTACTAATATATAGTTTGAGAAAACTGAGGATGCTGTAAACAGTGCTAATGATTTTATTGATGTGGGAAGTTATAATCTCTTTTAATAAAAACTCTTGCTATATAGTTCTGATGCCATATTGAAAGGTCTAAATAAGAAGTTCTTTAGATTGGTGATGATATTAAATCAGTCAGCTATTGGCTATATTATCACATCATGGATAAAAAGCTAAACATGAGTGAGCTCAGGTTTACATGTAAATAAGTTTTTACAGTGCAATGTTTTGTTTAAATTTTTAATTCAGATCTGCCTTTAAAAATATTTCCATGCACAAAATACATATTTAATATGTATTATACATACATACTTTTAATTATGCTAATAAAGTTATGAAAAATACATATGCAACTTTGTAAATTCAATTTTCCATGCATTTTAGGATTACAAATTATGCAATGTTATTATGTATTGTGAATATTGTGTTTCAGTAATGTTCAGTTCAGTTTCTTCAACAATATTCAACTAAACTATAATATAAGAAAATTCTTTCAAATATTTTGAATACTGTTTTAATTTTAGAGAGTTCATAGATAGCCTTTTCTAATAGATGCAATTATGTTACAGGCATGCTCTTGTGGAGGACCTTTAAGGGGATCTAATTCATGCCATCTAAACATAAATTATTATTGAGTATTATCATACTCTTTAGTCTCTTCATATTATGTCGGATTTATTAATCCATGAAGTTCCATGCATTCATTTTCCCTTCTATCTTATCACTTGGAAATACAGATCGAGCTACTTGTTTTGATCTTCAGTATTCCAATGGATGTGATATTGAGCCCAAGTGGGTTGACTTCTGTATACCAAGAAAATGGTCCATCTCTAAATGCAGAATTAATAAAAGAAGATCTTAAGCTTGGCTGGAAATTAAGTAATTGTTTTGTAAAACATGGCCTTAATGAAAAGCGTACCGGGAAGTTTAATTGTGAACTGAAGTTGTAATCAGCCTCTTACAGTGAGTTGTATAACATCCTAACAAAAATATGAGCACAATGATTAATCCTTTGAGGGGCACATTGAAAATTTTTCAGTTTTAATGAAAGTAATGTAAAATTAATTAATCACAAATGTGAAATATATCGAAAACAAAAATGTTACACAACTTGGAAGGGAAGTGGGTGGTGGTTTAGGAGTGAAACCACTTTTGATGTAGAGCATAAAATCTGCAAATTTTTGAGATATTGATTTTTACAGCAAAATAATGCATATAAGTATAATTAGTCATGGTTTCGTTGTCGAATATTAATAAAAATATAATTTATGAATATTAACTCAATAATTGAAAAATATAATGCAAATAATACTATTATTCTGATCTTATTTCAGAAGGAAATTTCATTTAATGTTATTCTAAATGCATAAATATACTAAGTAAATGCTAAAAATATAAAATTTATAACATTCTATCTTTATATTTTTAACAAAAACAGCATGTAGAAATTATCTAAAATACATGTTATTACTCACATATTCACACAGCTTTACAAATTATGGAACTTTTGAAAGCATGTGATGCATTTCTGTTAATTACATAATGGTGCTTTACAAACACTGCATATAGTTTTTGTTCTGTGTGGCTCCTCTCATGCTGCAGAAGACACATCTCCGTGACATGCTCATTACTAGTACGTGAGGCAATTTTGCCGTGTGTAAATCTTTAGGCATACAGGGCTTTGCCTCTTTTTCTGCATTCGGACTACTGGATGATATTTTTTTTGTGAGATAAGGGACATATTCTTTCGCAATTATTATTAGACGTATGATTGACAGTCTGAAGTCTTTTATTATACCCTAGCAATCAGAAAATGCATAGGAACGTTTTAGCTCTAAGATCATATTACACCGAAGTAATCAGAAAATACATAGGAATGTTTAAGCTCTAAGCAGGTGCTAGTTTTGGTAGAAAACCGCATGTTGAATTATAAAAAAGTTTTGCAAGAATTCTTGTACTCAAGGTGTACGCTTGAAATTATTGAATGCCAATATTCACATTTTTCTTGTATATTTGAAAAGCTGTGATCCATCTCACAGACATCTGCTACCATGCCTTATTGAGAGATATATGAAAATTTGCCATCTTAGCTTTCTCAGATATTTGTCACTGTAATACAGTGCTTTCAGATGAAATCATGTATGAAGAGGCTGATTTTGCTTCATATATTGAATGGCATCATCTACCCCAGGTTTTTGGTGTACCCCAGGTTTTTGGATGGGTGCCATTACACATCAAATTCCAACTAAGCATACATATTGTTTTGAAGTTTATGAAAATGTACTTATACTTCTTAAATAAGTTTTTAGATTTCTTTTATTGTTGTTCGGTTAATATATCTGAGAAAATATTTTTGTTATTAGGAGTTCAGGCTGATGCAGTGGGTGAAACTGCTGCTAAAGAAATTCTAGAAGATGTTCAGAATCAAGCTTGTGTTGATCGTCATGTGCAAGATCAGGTATATATTCAAAAATATTATAATCTTAAGTACATTTTTAATTTCAATATAAAGACTACATAGCCATAATGGGAAATTCTGTGTGTAAAAGATTTAATATAATAAACTTTAACTGTTTTGCACCGAGAGAGGCCAAAATCAATTCCCCTGAAACATCTGAAGCATCCGTGTATACGAATTTCTATTGGAATGGATTTCCTCCCCGTTCCCTGCTAAGTAGAATGCTACAGCATTAACAGTAACCTACTTAAGTGAAGTGATTACTTCTTTCTTGGGGATCTTTGTGCAGTTTCCTCTTAGGACAGGATTGCAAGTGCAAGCATGAGTAGCTAAACATTGATGTTAAACAAAGGAGAGGGAAGCTGCTTCAAAAGAATAATTGGCTTGTTATTTAACAACTCAAGAAACGAATGAGCCATGCATTAACATGATGGGAGGAAAGCTCTAGGTAGAAAATGGCATAGACATTCAGGCAACCCGCTGATGTCTGAATGCACGGGCATTACTGCTGACTTCACTGCCAAAAGTTAAAATAGTTCAGCTTGTTTTAAAAAATTTTGAAATATGTTCCATTTTCATTAATTAATATTATAATATTCTTTGTGTATAATACATAAATATGTCATTTATTACAACTGAACAAAAAAACTACTCCTTATGTAAAATTTTTCGAAAATGAAAAAGAAAAGAAAAAGTATTCATAATGCGGTAAATCAAATACATATAGTCAGTATATTTTAAAACTCTTTTCATTATTTCATGAATAATTCTGCTATCAGTTATTTTCAAAAGGGCTGCAGTTTCCTCCAGCATGTCACTAGCAATTAATTTAGATACTCATAATTATTTTGCATTTCTTCCTCCCTCCCCTTTTGAAGGCTGAATCTGAATTCAGATTCCAGCTGTCAGGACGGATGGGCCATCTGTGAAAGTTCTCACTTCTGTACTTATAAAAAATCTAAGAATTCCTTTATGTATAAGAAATGCATGATAACATTTTTTTTAGATATCATGATTTTGCATAAGTATACTAAGTATTCTTTTCTCCTGAAATTCTACATTTAAAAAAGAAAAAAGGGTTGTCCTTATAAAAACCATTGAACTTTGAATGTAAAAAATGACCCATGAATGGTCACAATTTAACTTTTTTTAATGCACAAAGGTTTTATTTAAAAAGGAGGAATATCTTTATGGAGAAATTTCTAGGGAAAACTGTTCGTTTTTATATTATACACGGTGTAATTTATGAAAACTCATATAACCAAACTGTTTAATGATTGACTGCTGAACCTTGGACAAACTACTAGTATTCTGTAACTTTTATTTGGCTATGGTAGTGGGCCATCATTCACATTAGTAGTACAAATCGTAACATAAGAAAATATATTCAGTAATACTAAATTAACTATTTCCTTTCCAAGGTTTGGATTGTATCTAAAATATGCTCAAAATATGTTTTCCTAAAAGAAAAGGGGTGTTAAACAGCCCATTTAAGTTGATCTGAAGAAACTTTTAGTTTAGCTTAAAATATATTAAAAGGTTTTTTCTTTTTTGGGTGATTGCGAGTGTGCTGTTAAAAAGTAGTACTTAATTATAAATTTATTTTAAATGTATGTTTTCAAGAAGTTGCATGTTTATGTTTTGCCTTCATAAATTTTTATTTTGTGTGTGTATTTAAAAAAAAAAAAAAAAAAAAAAAAAAAAAAAAAAAAGAAGCACTTGATAATAGTTTTAAAAAAATATGTTTTTCAAGAAGTTGTAACTTTATTTTTGCTTTCTTCTTCTAAATGCTTAGCAGCTGTAATATTCATAATCAATCACCTATTTTCTATATAATACTGAAGCTCTTTTCAAACGAATTTATAGAGTAAATTTGAGTAAATCCTTAATCTATCATCTAAAGTGATAAATTCTTTAAATATTTTTGCTTTTAAGAATCTTATTTTACTGAAGTGTAATATAAAAAACATTTTGCCTTTCTGAAATATTACTTTATATATTCTTTTCTTTTTCAGCTAGTCATATTTATGGCTTTAGCCAAAGGCCAATCAAAGGTAGTCATAGGTAAACCTACATTGCATACAGAAACAGCAATCTACATTGCTGAACTGATGACTGAGGTAAGGCTAATATGTATGTAAAGAAACACATAAACTTTAATTAGGTTACATAAAGCATAAATTGTTAAAAAAATTTCCAAAAATACATATTAAATGAATTTAAAGGCTTTGAAAAAAGAAAAAAAAAAAAAAAAAAAAGCAGTGGGAATGATGTTGCAAGAATTGAACACAAAACTGCATTTTTTACTTTATTATGGCAATTAGTAATTCTAATTTTTGACATTTAATATCAAAATTTATCTTAAAGTGCCCTGACAATTAATTTTATAAATGTGTATATTATATTTATAAAAGGAGTGGTAGAATGCATCGAAACAAATGTTGTTCACTATATAATGTATAGTCTGTCTGTGAGAAGGTGTTGTCTGGTGCACACATGAAAGCAGAGAATTTTCAGAGGCAAATTGTTTAGTAAGTGGGAATCAATCAGTATATATGAGGAGAGAGTAGATATGCATATTGTGCATGCTCTGGCCAATGATAATAGCAGGCATGCAAAGATGCTTTTCCAACAGGCACATTTCTGATCATGGAATGCTTGCGAGTTTGCGCAAACAACTCTTGGAAACAGGAAGGCTTTCTGTTTTCTTTTCCGGACCAAACTACTGGTATCCAGCAGCTTTACCGCAGCATATTTTAGAATATCTTGCATAAGCTCAAAAAGACCACATTTCAACATTTCTGTTTTGTTTTCCTTAGTAATAATAGAAATGAAGTTCTAAAATATTTCTTTATTAACTAACTATCAATTATTCCTTAAAAATGCCATCATGATACCAATTTAGTTTATATTCATAAGTTTTGACTGAATACAGAAGAAAATGCAAGAATATATAGAGAGAGCTATTTAAAATCTTGAAATGATTTCTTTGAATTCTCTGTCTAATATAAAAAGTTTTCTTCTTCATTTAATTCTGTATAGCAGTTCAGAACCTTGTTATTTTTCACCTATCTTAACAATCTGACTAATTCTCATAAAATAGTGTTTCACATGAAAGTGGTGCCTTTAGAAATGCACACAAGAGTACCACTGGTACAGATCAGGGTTCGTACACATTTTTGTTCATGGAAATTAAGTACCTTTAAGGACCATTAATGAAAAAAATTAAGGACCTAGGAGCAAATAAGAACTGAATAAATTCAATTAAAAATATTTTCTATGCCTGAATTTAATTTTTTAATACCATCCTAAAAATAAAATAGATCCCTGAGTAGTATGCATTGTTATTAAACATGAATTAACATAATTATTAACCCTATAACTGCCACAGGTGTATATATACGTCTTGCTCAGTCGATGTGTTAACTGCCCCAGGCGTATATATACGCCCTTCCAAACTACTATCATTTGCTTTGTGATGCTACCTATAAAATTATTTGCAAAGCTTTGGAATGCAACACCACAATGACCTTGACAAAGTATGCGAAGGAGGATGCTATTTCAGAGAAGTGTGGGGAGAAATTGGAGAGATGGGTGTGTTGAAAGCGGTGAATGTAATGACTGCGCGGTATTGGCTGGTGTTGTTTGAGTAATACGTATTTTTTTTTTATTATTATTCTGTGTTTTCCGTTTTCGTTTACTTTTTGTAGTAGGTTGCAGGAATAAAGAAAGATATAACAGATGTTTCAAACCCATTTATCTTTTTTGATGAATTGCTCGTGTTTCATAACCGTTTTGTAGTAGAGTATATGAACCAACACCTAGCAAACGAAAAATCAAGAACAAAATCGTGGCATTCAACCAGTTCAGAAGAAATATATGTGTTTTTAGGCATACTGATTTCACAAGGTATAACACTGAAAACACTTTACTGGTCTAAAAATGAATTGATCAAAACTCCATTTTAGGGATCTTTTTATTATACTTTTGCTCAAAACATTAAATTTTGTGCATTCATTTTTTTTCTTTTATTCTTTATTTTGTGAAAGTAAAACTTGCACTTATTTTCTTCCTAATACATTGCATAACTACGCGTACCTGTGTGAAAAACCGTGCAACTGGGAAATGAATCTTCTACGTTTGCTGCAACAGTTAAGGGGTTAATAAGTTTGAGAATAAAATAAACTTTATGCAATTTATCAAGTAACATTTAATATTTTACACTTATAATATTTGGACATATTTGAAAGAAGATAAGTGACATTTACGATTTACTAACAGTCAGCTTTATGTTGATTTTGTCACATACTTGGTCAGTCTAGAGGTTTAGTAAATAGCAGGTAGATTTTATGTCAAACTGCATAGGTTAAAATGAGAAGTAAATCATAATCAGCATTATTCATAACAGAAGACTAAATGTTGTCACTGC